GGAGATCCCTATGTTTCCTCAGAAAACCTTAAAAACCCGGAGTCTTTTTTGAGGTCTTCGATCGCCAAGCCCTAACGGGTCGCTAATACGTGGAAAACACAACGAGTGAACACGACCGCCACGGTGGAGCCGAAAAACGTCTCGATGGTTGGAAACTCGAACGAGATGGAAGAACCATGACGAACCTGTGGCTCACACAAACAGTAGTTGCAAATGACTTGGCTTCACTTGATCAAAGTGGGCCAACGCATTGAAAGTGTCAAGATTACAAAAGCACAGCTTGAAGAGATGGCTGCCTTTTAACGGTGTGAAGATCCGGTCATTGACCTTGGAGACTTCCAACGGACTCTCACACCCACCGTATTCAAGGCCCAAAGGCAAATACTCTGTGGCACTGATGGCGAACAAGGTCACCTCCAACTGACTGCGGGTGAAACGCTTCGCTTGGTCAACTTCTCCGGTCTTGTAAGGGAATGAGAGAAACACTTGGAGCAACCTTCTGCTGTTGGCATGGAATTGGTGCAAGAAACTGGTCTATTCTGCTGTTGGCATAGAAATTACCCCCTGCCCCACCACTTGTTTTTCGTTTTTCAACACAACATCCTACAAATACCTCTCTAACACATTGGCTAAATTCCTAAACCCAGCTGAGTGTCACCAAGAGACTGGGCGACTTGGTCCCGGTTGGAAGATATCAAAGCATTTTCTTGGGGTGAAAAAAGCAAACAAACCGCAAACCAACACCAAACGCAACATATGGCAAATCACGTGCACCTTTCACACCCGGAGATACCTGGAGACCTCATCGTCCACGAGACGACACGAGAGAGACCGTTGCGTCGGATGAGATGGACCGGTGCGAGTGTAAGGCTCCTAAGCGTCGGACTGCAAGGTCTCTTAGATGCGACCAAACAGAATGACCATAATGACCATGACAAGGTGACAGGTAGAACCACACCCAAGCAGGATAGTTTGCCCTGTTACCACACCTGGTACCTCACAAGGAAGCTGCTGTTAGACATCAGTTCGATTCAATTCCGCAGCTCAAATCACATGCTTCCAGAAGGCTTACTATTTAGCCCCATAGCCCAATCAGTGAAACGCTGGTTGAAGCCATTCCAGGCCACTGGATCCTGCAGTCCCTGAAAAACACACGCAGTCACCGTTCATGACCGGCTTCTCTTGCAGGCATGTATGTAGATAAATGTGTATGGTTTATGGATCATTGTTCTTGTAAGGTTGTTTATATACATGTGTTTACATGTGCGCAACAAGAAACATGTGTCTACAATTTTTTACCGCATCAAACATGTCCCAATTTCTGAAGAGTTTATCGAATCGATGATGATCGCGTTTATCGAATCGATGATGATCGCACACCGGCTTCCACTCCAAAGCCCCCTTCCCAATGCCCCTTCTGGCACCGTGGTGATGGGAGCACTGGTGAGCTTCAAGTTTTGTCGGGCTTCCTGAAGCTTCAAACGCAGTTCTTCTGCTTCGTCCTTGTCCTTCTTCTCCTTAGTGATTGGCCAAGAGAATCAACAAAACAATAAACATGGAAGGAACCGTTCTTTGTTGCACTTCTTAAGCTGTTGGTCTAGCCAGTAGCCTCCCCAATTGGAACACATATTCTGCAAACCACGCTCATGCGGGAACTGGGAGATCGTCAGGTCAATGTGCACATTCAATGTGTGGCCTTTGTGCCCTGTGTTGCAAAACATGGAATAACCTGGCTGCACCAAAAACCAAACACAAACAGCCAATTTGCTCACTGGCTAACAAGATCTAACAAGCCAATTCTACAGAGGTCAACGCGCCAGATGAGGCCAGTCATCACACTCTGTAACAATGTTGCCGGTTTGGGCTGTTTTCACACATGCTAACTTCCCGCCAACAAAGAGAACTACAAGATATCCTTGAAAGCTGCAAGACACAAACTATATAAGTAGCTCGGCAAAACATCACACCTTGTCTTCTCTGCTCGACGTTATTCAGTATTTCCACGGTGATGTTCAACAACTTATACTTGTTGTTGCTGGTCTAAGTTGATCTAAACAGCGCGATTCACAACCAAAGGCAGAACAGAATCAAGCCACGGCCAAAGTGGCACCTGACCCATCAGAACACCACGTAATTATTGTGTTTAAAGTTTAAACATATGACCATTGATAGCAAAGACGCGCTTTCCCAGGCTTTGGGTGTGTTCATACAGACATTGTTCCAAGGGATATGTTCACTCTTCCTCACTGCTCCGTGTGGGCCTCACAATCAACCCACCCCCCATTGGGCGCCACCAACCTCTGCAACATAAGTCCTTGGTTCTAAAAAACGCCCTCCAAAAGCCCCAGACCGGCTTCATCTCCCCATGCCTGCCAGAGCGCCGGCGCCGCGGCCGGCGCGGCCGACGCACGTGGCGCGCCGCCGCGGGGGGTCGCGTGGCCAGGGCGTCGCTGTGGCGTCTCCCGGTCCCCTGAGGACGACCACGGGCAGGGCTGAAGGCCAAAGGAGTCCAGGCAATTAATACCCTATCAGGAACAAGTGCATCGCTACTAGTAACAAGTGCCTTCCTATGTTGCCGGTACTAACAGCTTCACAAGTGGTACTTACTCAGCCATCATAGCGATCCAGTGTGCCTAATACAGGTATAGGCGGTGTAGGATGACAATGTCCTTCCTATGTGTTGGAGTCAGAATACCTCCAGCACCAGAATCCAAATCCGACCGATCAAACTATGAGGCACCGTCAAACTATATTCTTCTGGATTGCTGCTTGATTTTGGAGTGCCCTACATGGCTTCGAGGAAGTCAGCATGCTTTGGATTCAGCATTAGTCTAGAATCCATTTCTCACAGGCTCCAAAATGGATGAAGGACTTCTTTTTGGAGGTGCTTTCAGAAGCGTCTGCTTCAGTGGTGGAAGAAGGCTTTTTATATATCTAAATATCTATCTAGTTTCATATGATTCTATCATGTTCTATCCCTTTGCCAGGGGTCTTTATGTAACAAAATCATATCGCTAAAGACTATCGCTTTAGAGCGTCTCCAAAACGTGAAATCGCTGGAAAAATAGTTCCAGGTTATTGGTTGCAGGTTGCCCTTTTGGGGGGGTCCCTATCGCTTCAATTGCATCGTTTGTTTTCTCAGCGCAACTACAGCCTCCCTAATTTTTCAAGGGATATACTGTGTATATATATATATACTGATTTAGACTGTGACTCATATGGGCTTTCCCACACTGGTGGATTGCACACATATTTCTCCCGCTCTAGACTCCAAACTCAAAAAAGTATAGGAAGGCTTGGAACGCCGCCGAATGCTAGGCCTGGTCGCTTGTACTGGAAAGTCAACTTGCTTACTTGGCTTGCTACAAGTTCCACGGGAAATTTGGTCAACAAATCCTTTCACAGAGGCATCAACCTCTTTCACAGAAGCTGGGAGAGGCTCAGTCCCTCACGGTCCCTCCCCTTCGCCCCATTTCGCCCAGGCACCCATAGGTGGAAACCACTCACCCGCCCCAAGCGGCGCAAGTGGCTATGGCTGGGCTCAAGTCGAAGGTTGCTCGATCGGAGCCAGGAGTGGTCGGCTGCGGGCGATTGCCGATCAACTACAAAGAACAGTCAAAAGGATTTAAAACAAGGAACAAACAATAATACATTGCGTAAATAATGGACCTGGGGAACCCAGTAAACAAACATCAACCCACCAAGGCATCAACCCACCTTTGGCTGGCAAAACCCTGTTGATCCCATCGTTGCCAGTGGCATGGTGGCATGTGCAACAATGACAGGACGAATGGGAGAAGGTCAAACTGCAAGATCATGTTACAGTGTCAGCAGCCAACGACCCATGAACCTGGCATATTGTTCATGTTTTCACAGGGCATTTGCTGCAAACAGCTTGCAGGTCGTTCTTGGTCGAACATGAGGGTCTTGTAGCTTTTCCTCTACCCGGAGCAACCGTTTCTTCGTTCGGCTGGCTTTACCACACAATCCGATCGTCCAAATAATACATGTTGCTAAATTTATAACCTATAGCCTATAAGCCACGGGCCCAGGTCTTTCCAGTTAGTGTGGCTGGGTCGGCTGATCCCTGGGAGTAGTGTCATCCGCTTTGTTTTGCAATGGAGTTCCGGCATGCTGGGTGCATACAGCTGTCATTGCTGCTTCCTTCCGCTGCTCGAGCGGATTGCCTGGGAATTTTGCGGTGGCATGTGGCAGTTTCGTCCTACCACTGCCTCGCTGCAAGAATTGGAGACCTACACGAATGGGTTGGCAACCTACATGTTTGCAAGCTGCAGTGCTTCAGTTCACTA